TCATCAGAGCGAGGTAGCATCATTACAACAAAATTCAAGCCAACGAGTCAAGAAAACTCACCATCAAATCCCTAAAAACTGGTACACATACTCTACATCTGTCCTCTTTGAATCTTCCAGTAAAGCCAATCGACAGCTGATCAAGAGGAATCCGCCGTCGTCTTCTGGTGGAACCGACCTACGAATCTCTTGACCCAACACTTCTACTTGAAATGGAAGTAAGCTCAACAATACAGACATTTTTCCATATTACATTCTATTGTGGGATTATCGATTAAGTAAGGTTGTATCTGCTATAGCAACCAGCTACATTAAGTAAGCAAATATATATATATATATATATAGTGTATTCGTTCTATTTGTTTAAATGAAAAGCTACTTATAAACGAAAAATAAGTAGGTACTAATTATCTATTTTTAAATAAACTGGGTTGAGGGAGTATCAGCTGCTCTTGACTCACCTTTTGTGATGAAGGATTGAAGTTGAATTTTTTTAGCAATGTGCTCATAAGGGTGTAAATTGCAATCCCCTCCGAATAGGAATACCTTTTGGGAAGCAAGACTATGTTCAATTTAATGTAATTGTGGGGTTTCAGGAGTTATTTCCATTACAACAAGCAGTTTTAATTGTACTCAGCAAAAGCAAGCTTCAAGAATACTGATTAGGCCTAGCCTCAGAATTATTAAATTCAATCCGTATTGGGTGAATTAAGGACGGGTAATGGGGTTTGGGTCAGAATGCGATGGATGGGCCTCAAGATGCCACGTAAGACTGAATATTTCGAAGTTCATTCACACAAAAAACACACCTTTGCCTAATCGGCAATCCCACCAGATCTATGATTTGGGAGATGAAGCTGCGTGAAATCCACTGGCATCGTGAGCCCTAGTCATAGGATTGTGGCAAACTATTCACTCTCTGTCCTCAAATCAATCCAAGCGACCTGAGCTGTCTGAATTTGTTTTCGCTGTGGAATAGTGGAAGATCTGGAGACTGCAATGCCAGTGTCCGAGGGAAGAAGGGTCAGGTGGTGAAGCAAAGCAGGTAGACCTGCATGATACAACTCCCCGAGTCTGTGTTGTGCCTGAATGAGGCTATGTGAATGCTATGTGATGCTGTCTGAGTGGTACCAGACTAGCCGACATGAGACACATTGCCTGTAGACCGTGGCAGTTATTTATGTCTGCCAAATGGCAAGGCTAGCAGAAGTGGGACAGGGTTTGACGATGCAAAGTCGAGAGAGTGGAGGGTAAACAACAAAGTATGCTGGCGACGGGCAGATAGGACAAATTATCGGGTACATGACCTACCCACGACCATGATAATTCAGCTAAAATTAGCTTTGCACCTCCTGTGGGCCAGTTATCAATTA